GCCTCAAAACATCAGATTCATCCGCGCTGGAGCCGCGCCGGAGCACAACCTACGCAAGGAAGATAATTCCGCAAACAGCTGCAATTGCAGGTTTTCAAGCAGAGATGGTGACAAAGAGGCAAAATTTACGGACTACAGCTTTAAGTGTTTTTTTCTTTAATTGCTAATGTGACCTTTTTACACCACATACTGAACAAAATTAAGCATTGCTTGGTAATTGGTCAACAAAGTAGTTGTGTAAATATTGTCATACTAACAGTTGTCTGAATTGGTAGAACCTCTGCACGCAGGTGTGGCGCACAGACAGACAGTAGCCTAATGATAACCCCTTTCGTGCTCTTCCCAATATTGTGACAAACACCACTGTATTTAAAAGATATAATTTGAAGGAAACTGTAAGATATGAACGTTTCATTTTCAAAATGTTTTGTTATTGACGCGGTGAGTCAGTTATTGCAAAAAAAAAAAAAAAAATGCCTATCTCTTTCCATTTAAATATATAACATCCTAAAATATATGTTTACCTTATAGGCAAAATTTCGTACATTTGATTTGTTTAAAACAATTTAAGATACTATTTGACCAGTGGAAAAGAATGAGAACAACTCTGAACACTTAAAATCTACATAAAGTTTTATACATGAGGCCCCAGAACTTCTGTGATTAAAGGCAGGGTATGTGATTTTTCAAAAACACTTTAGAAAACTGATTCGGGCTGAATAGCAAAACAAACTTGTAGCCAATCAGCAATAATCAAGCCAGAGATCCACGCCAATTACCGTGTCGCTGGATAAACACCTCTGTCCAACCACCACGTCCGTTACAATCCCTCAAGGCCCACAAAGCACTGAGACAAAGACTGCTACTGGACATATCACGTTACAATCATAATATGGACTACACTGCTTAATAATACACTCCTTATCAACTTTACAACAACACATTTCCTGCGGTTTAGACAGATGCTCATTGAAACATAAAGCTATCAATGGTCATGGTACTTTACATACACATTACCGCAGTATTTTTCATTGTTTGCATCTATATCTTTGATATGAGCCAATGCGAGTCTTTGCCTCTGCTCTCTTAGTTAACTGTAGTATTGTCCGGTTTATCAGAGTGAGTCTATTTCTTTGTGAATGATACCTTAAAATGTTTGTATGAGTGTCTGTATCTCAATGCTACGTTCTTAATTTATGAGTAATCCGATGTTGTTTTATCTAATTGATGTATACAGTATAATTTTTTTGTCAATGGCTCTTTTGTGACAAAGCTCATAATTATCATTATCTTAATGTAGTATTCTTAGTTAAATTAGCTGCACTCTTCCTCCCTGCTGCGCTCTTGTTCTGTATATGTAAGTGCATTCCTCTATTTCAGCCTGCTGTGAAAATGTAATAAATGTCTGTACAAATGGATCCTCATTTGAATGTCTTCCATTTCTCTAGGATAATGCTGAAGGTGCACAACTGGTGAACATTGTTTAACTATGATCTATTCTTTGGATCTAAATATATGTTTTTAATAACTTCATCTGACCAGCACGATCTGTTCAAACTCTTTCTATAATATAAAGCTCGACCGAGTAGCAACGCTAGAGGTTGCTATTTAGCTATATTGTCCTCGTCTTCAAAATTTATAATTCTCCCAAACCTATTCACTATTTATACAATTATAATATATCCATACGCTTAATAGTTGAAATGTTGTCACTAGATTATAATATTAACTGCGCACGAAGAAATGTCCTCCACACTTTTCCTGAATAGGTTTAATAAAAAGATAAATTCTATTTACAAATCTACAACTTGAGTTGTAGATTTAATCTACACAAATAAATATATCGCTTTATTTTGTCTTTCTTTTCTTTTTTTTAGCTTAAAAAGCTAATTTTCAGTGGCCTCGACTCCATGCCACATTTAACTTATGTAATTTCTTATTCGTTATTAAGTGAACAAAGAAGCTATATGCGCACAATCGTCCAAAAAAAAGCAAAAGCATTCAACTTTGCCAACAAGACAAAATTATATACAATTCTTTGTCAACATCACGTATTACTTGCCATGTGGCAACGGAAGTACGGAAAGTATTTATTGCATCGCATCACGTGGAACGTGGTTAACATACAGCATACAGCAAAAACTACTGGGCATGCGCACATCAATATAGCGTAATTTTTCTCACACTGTACAACAATAATTACTATTTTTTTGCATTATTGTAAGTTGTAGGTTTAGGGTTGGAGGTGTAGACCTTAATAAAACACAATCTAGGTAGAAAATTCTATTTATTGTTAGCTTCCGGTTTTTGCTGTATCCCTTCTAGCCACAACCAACTTCGGTCTCGTCATCCTGAGCAGAGGAGCTTCCTCTGAACCTGAACCAAACACACAAAACTGTGATCCGATGAACCAATCAACTGCTTTGATTAGGATTGACACAGATTAAACACGGAGCTCCACGTGCTGCTAACCAAAATAAACCTTAAGCCAGTTTCTGTGCCATATGTACAGTAAACAATCAACAGACACAATGTCCTTCATACTGCATTCATATGATCTAATATCTACCTTAATTTAAATGAGAAAAGTGAAACATCAGTTCTGTTAAAGGCTCGCATCGCTTATTCTGCTTAATAGACGTAGGCTGTATGGATTTAGTTTTTAATAACTTTTTACCAATACTTAAAAACAAACAAAATAATTTTCTGATTAGGCCTATTTGTAGCGCTTTATAATAAACCGTTAAGCGCTGTTTATTAGGATAATATAAAGAAGGGCGTCTTCAAGCAGCGAATAGTTTTCAATAAACCACTAGAAAAAGTGTAAAAAAAAAAAAAAAAAAGATCAAACCGAGAGAAAACTTCAGCAATTAGACTGTTCATCATATATATAAATTAGATGAGCGTGTGTGTGTGTGTGTGTGTGAGAGAGAGAGAGTATATGCGATACTCACCATTCTTCAGTGCGCGCTCCCGCTGTCTCCCAGAACGCGCTTTTGATGTAATCCGGTTGACGTCAGGGGAATAATAATACCCCAATGCCGCATGTTACATTTAAAATATCTTAAAATATGCAAAATGTCCGTATTGAATAAAAACGTATTCTTTTTTTAAAAAAGATGTGTATTAGTTTTTATACGTTTTGTAGTTTTTCATTTCGATGTTCAGTAGAACATTTGAAAATTTATAATTTGAGTGATTTGCTGTTGTAGAAAAAAAATCTACATATTATGCACATTAATTGAGAATAATATGTTTTTTCATATAAACTTTTTATATAATAGAACGATAAATATAACGATACTATTATTAGTCACGTACTTACAGAGATGTAATGAGAAGCAGCAGCGGATGTGTGTCAGCTTTCAGCGGCTTCAGTGCCGCTTTTACTGCTGTTATTGTTGTGGCTGAATGTGATGCTGCTGCCCTCTGTATGTGGATCACATGAAATCACATTCATGAACACAGACATGTCGGGCGGATGGTCATCTCGTCTGTTTAACTGAAGCTTTATGATTCCGTTCGAGTTTGGAAAGAAAAACGCAGCAAGATGCCACAGAAGCTGCTGGGCTCCGTGGTGGGGCTTCTCTGCACAGGGACGTGTTTAGTTCAGGTAAGCCGGCGGCGCGGCCTTTGAGGCGGCGAGTGTTGAACTCGAGCTCCGGGATCAGCGCGGTGCGAGGCCTCGATAAACAACTCAAATAAAGCCATAAAACCAGCATCGTGTAACAATGGTTATAAACCCCTTATGTCCTTTCTTACGGGATATATTTAAAATCAATATTAATATTTTACATTTTAAAATCACAGACATTCAGGAGATGAAATGATTCGGGGAAAAAAAAATGGTGGTTATTATTGATGGTTTGTACTTTAGTGTTTGTGATTGTGGGGTGTCTGCAGTGTTTTAGTATGTCTGTAGGGTGTTGTGTCAGTTCGCCGGCTTTGTGTGTGTTTGTGAGGTTTAGGTTTGACTCGTACTGATTGTTTTTAAAGGTTATTGTGTAACGTTAGGTAAAAGATCCAGCGCCCATCATAGTTCACACGCAAATAAAGACTCACCTGTCCAACAGGCAACACTGTGTTTCCTATTTATTTATACAGTATTATATTTGAGGACCCAATTTCATTGATATTATTATATATAATTGTTCATATTTATTGATTGATTTCAACTTTACTTGCATTACTTTGTCCTTATAATTTTAGACCAATATGTGAATTGTGACACAGAAATCAGATTTTGAGTGGTGAGTCTGGTTTTCAAACGATGAATTTGCCTTTGTGCTCCTAATAAAGGAGTCACACTCTTTCTCTGAGTGTGGTGAGTGTTTACTGTCAGTCCTCCGACACAAACGCTGATGTAAAGCCTGGAGTGCGCATGATGAAGAGCTCAGATCTGTGCTGTTGTCTTTCACTCAATGCTTGTGTTTGTTTGACAGGGGAAGGAGTTTTGTTTCGGCGTGAACAATGAACAGTACCGCTGTGAGATGGGCTACTGTTGTGGCGAGACCGAGTGCTGCACGTACTATTACGAGCTCTGGTGTAAGTGCAGCAGCTTCATGTCTCTCTCTCTCTCTCTCTTTACTGTCAGTCCTCCGACACAAACGCTGATGTAAAGCCTGGAGTGCGCATGATGAAGAGCTCAGATCTGTGCTGTTGTCTTTCACTCAATGCTTGTGTTTGTTTGACAGGGGAAGGAGTTTTGTTTCGGCGTGAACAATGAACAGTACCGCTGTGAGATGGGCTACTGTTGTGGCGAGACCGAGTGCTGCACGTACTATTACGAGCTCTGGTGTAAGTGCAGCGGCTTCATGTCTCTCTCTCTCTCTCTCTCTCTCTCTCTCTCTCACTCACTCTCTCACACACACACACACACACACACCCGTATGTGGTTCAGGCTCACACGCATGACAGTACAATGCTAGTGAGGTGTTTGGTCCACCAGCCTGTGCATGTTCATTTCATATTTCAGCTCAAAAGGAATAAATGAAAACAAAGCTTGTTTTAGGGCTCGTTTTTTTGCATTGTGACATTGAAACTATATTTAAATACAATTTCCTCTGTATTCTCATTATGGTAATTCATGACAGCGTTGATAAAGCACAACTTCCTCACACCTTCAGCACTCATACATCCCTATAGAAGAGCTTTTACTAGCACTGAATGTCACTGTGGGAATCAGGCACTTCTCTCTGTACTCCTCCTCTAGCAACACCATAACATTTTGGATGCTGTTAGATCCAAAATTGTTGACTTGGTCTTATGAGATCAGAGTATGGATTCCCAGAAGTCTATATTTTGTAAATATGGGCCTTGGAAAAAGTTGTGCTTTGGCTACAGTCGGTAGTTCTGGTGTGGATAAACAACCATGCATGTCACTTCTGCAGGCTGCATCTTACTCTGTGAGACAAAGTGTCACTCTTTTCATAGCTTTTACCGGCTCTGAGACACAGAGCTTAAAGTGAACACCTGATTATTTCAGGGGCCTTTTCACAAGTCCATTGTTTTTGAATTTCTGTTTTACTTTTGTATATTTTCACACTTAAAACAATGATTTGGTATTCCTCTTGTACCATTGTACTCTTTTGTGCTAAGAAATAAATCTCCTGACAGTTCTCTCAAGTGGTTACATTATCACCATTAAGTCTGAGTATGATTCAGTGGGCTATATAACACTTTTAAAGGGGACATCGGATGCCCATTTTCCACAAGTTGGTATGATTTTTAGGGTCTTCATGAAATGTCTGTGTGACGAGTGGGGGCGGGGCGAGAGCCGTGGGAACGGAGCGAGGTGGGTGGAGTAATTGCCAATGTAACAACGTTCGTAGTTCGGGAAGGAGGAGGCGGGAACCGGCCAACACTTAAACAAAACTTTAATAATAAAATAAACACAAAACAGCGCGACAGCCCCTCGCGGACGACTGTCGCGCACAAACATAACCAGAACACAAAATAAAATCCAGGCCTGGTCCTCTCTCGTCCAACACCCCGCCCTTTCTTATGTGGAAAAGGAAAGGCAATTTGTAAATAAATATAAAGTGTGAGACTTACTGCAGCTGGATCACGAACAATGGATACTGATCCATCCTTGAGTTTTAACTTTTTAGCAAAACCTGCCTTGGAATTGTCCCTCGTTCAGAAAGTAGTTTGGAGTAAAATGATTTGCGCAGACATAAATGAATTTAGGTGTATTCGGTGGTGCATTACCATAGTAACAAGATGGCGCCGCGGATGGCCGCCTCGGTGTGGAGCTCTCCACATACAATATACTGTCTACTGTCTTTTTGTCTATTGTGTATTGTTTTTACATATTTATTTTTATTTTTTATCTGTGTCTGGTCACTTTTCAACCTGTCTGTGCACTGGAAGCCTCTGTCACCAAGACAAATTCCTTGTGTGTGTGTAAGCACACTTGGCAATAAAGATCTTTCTGATTCTGATCAAAAACAAAACTAATCCACTGCATCCTGCATTGCTTACAACTCATTGTTATGGCTACAACTGCTGGAGTGCGGAGAAAATGGAAAAATCTTTAACAGTTTTGGTTCAACATACTTGCCTGTTCAAAAATTGCCTTGAACTTACACCAGATTTTTTTTTTTTTTTAAGTTTTATTTAGTAACTTTCAGAAGGGTGTACATTTTTGCAACACAGCATTTTATCACTTTGATTTTAAAAAAAGTCTTATTTTCCTGAATTTTAACATGCTTCTTTGGTAGCTGATCAAGCAGACTTGCTGGAACATTATATCTCTAAAGAGCCCTAACATGTCTTCTAAGTAAAGAGTAATTGCTGAATTTGTTAAGTTTCTGAGGGAGTGTACTCATTTATGCTGTGCACTACATATCTGTACGGAAACATCATTTCTGTAAATACTGAAATGCATTTGTGCTGTAATGGATTTATCAACAATTTATGTTGAATCAATTAAGTTACAGGTATTAAACATTTGATTGAGTCACTGAAAGTCAGAAAATCACATGACACTGGAAGTCAAGAGCCACCTGTCAATCATCTAGAGACGCGTTCGGCGATATCACATGATGATGAGTGTTGGCATTGATCACATGACTGATATTTAGAGCAGTGTGACAGTATGCAAGGACTGATGATGATGATGGTGTGTGTCTGTAGGGTTCTGGTTGGTGTGGACCCTCATCATCATGCTGAGCTGCTGCTGCGCATACAGACACCGACGCGTCAAGATGCGCCTGCAGCAGGAGCAGAGACAGAGAGAGATCAGTCTGATGGCATATCAGGGCGCCTCCAGCTCCTTCATCACTCCTCCTCCTCTCAACCTACGTGAGTACCGTGTCCACACCACACCATCACAGACGCCTGACCCGTCGTCAGCTCACAAGACCGTTCAGCTTGATGCTTTACATGCGTGTAACGGTTTGTCATAGTGTGACCCTCGTCTCCAACATGAGTTTCTGCACATTGTTCTCATCAGAAAGGGCCACTTTGCACTGTAAGGATGGTCAGGATGTGCCACTGCTCAACAGCTCACTAGTGAGCTTGACTAGTTTCTGAAATTCGCAGCAGTGCTGTTTAGGGGACTAGAGTAACAATGATGTGGGTTTTAACATAACTAAAGATCTTCCAGGAGTCTTCATTCATCCTCTTTAAAGCACAGAAATATCTGTAACCCATTCAACCATTGATCTCATCTGCGTGTTCGGATTATTTTAGATTCAATTTTACAGAAATTATCAGAAAATACAGTAAAATGTTGGCGTCGCTTGACATGCGAATGACCAGGGAGTTCAGATATCTTTTGTTTATAGTGCAAACCTTGAGAAGGTCATGCTGTGAATTAAAGGACTCATTCACTCACAAATTAAAATGAGCATTTACTTTGGGGACCAGTTCTCACTATTATCTAGTTGCTTATTAGCATGCATATTACTAGCATATTGGCTGTTTATTGGTACTTATAAAGCACATATTAATGCCTTATTCTGCATGACCATATTTTAGAT